AAAAAAAAAAAAAAACCCAATTAATCAAAGAGAGAAATTACCTGAGACGACGCCATTAACACCTTCTCTTGAGAAATTTTGCCTTCAATCTTCAACTCCTTTCACTGAATATTTAAGAAAAATATCTATGTTCTTGTTGCAGCTAATGTATGTAGGACTGATTGTAGGCTTCAAGGGGCAAATAAAACCTTATTAACGTCAAGACGATGGCTACGAGATTCGAGGTAAACTTCGAGAAATGAGATTAAAGTGACGGTGGATGTGAAGCCACGTGTCAGTAATTTCTTAATTTTCGCGATTAATCAAGAAGATACCTTCATTTGAAAGCTACTTGGAACTTTCTCGACCTTTATTCATTTTTCTTGGCCTTTATTTGGCAATATTTATCCCAATTTCTAGCTGATTGAAACTTTGATTTATGTCAACAAATAAACTAAAATCAGACATTATTCCAGTTTAAATTCAGCTCATTTATTAATATTAATTAATTGAATTTGAATTTTAACTAGCCAAACTATAAAATTGTAATGGAATAATACATTATTTCATCAAGGAAAATAAATAAATAAATAAATAAATAAATACAACTGGCTATGCAGTTGAGAAAATATGTTCCTATTTTGATGCATGGGATATTATAATAAAAGATTAATCATAACTCTGTATACAAAGTATCAGTGCAATCTGCATTCCCATATTAATTTCAATGTCAAGCCAACAAAAAAAAAAAAAAAAAAAGGAAAAAGTAAAAAGTTACAATGTTCTAATGCACTGTAAAAATTAGACTCAGTATAACTCAAAATTCTGCTGTGTGCAGTGTAATGTATCTAAGGTTAAAAGGCCATCAGATATGACTAAGACAAAAGGCTATATGAAGGCATGTCCTCGATTCGTATCACATCGTCCATCAGAAATTCTCTCTCCAGCTGCAATCGTGTCGACTTCAAGATATCCTGTTAAGTATCAAGTTTTTTTTTATTTATTTTTTCTCAAATCCAGTGGTCCAAATTGAAATGTGCACAATGAACTTATTCTAGAAAGCTTACATTGAACTCCATGTATGTCGCGTTTTTGTCGAGCCACAATTTGTCCATAATCATGAACGCCACACAATATAAAATGTCGAACGCCCATTCGTTTTCTGCTAAAAAATGATAAACTTTTAGTGTCCCATCAAATCATTTGTATCCACAAAATGCTATAAAATGTGAATGCCTTGCCTGATAACATATGCAGAAAAACTGCTCTAATAAATGTTCTGGGTTTCGCTGCATGAAGTTGAGAGTTGAGACCTCACATTAGAACCCATTAACGGAACATTTTCACATAAAAAATGAAAAAAAAAAGATCCTTAAACAACAAATTATTATTCGTTTCTCCTTACTGGCATCTAGATCGAGCATTTGCATGATCATAAATGTTATATTTACACCAGCAACAGCAAATGGATATTCCCAAATAGCCCTTTTGCCTGATTGCTTCCTCAATAGGATCTGGAATGAAGTCTAATGCATAAACAGAATGTAAGTTCTTTGAAGATGCCAAAGGAAAGAAGAAAGCCAAGTGAACTATTATTACCGAAAAAGTCTTTGCGAAAAACAGCAAATTCTCCAAAGAAATGAAACCCGCTCCCCTTCATATTGGAAACACCAGCAACACATAAGAGATTCGAAATGAGATATACTATATATAGAGGGATAAATTTTTTAGGAAAATGAAGTCCACAATTGTAAAACTAAAACAAGAACCTAAAGTCCGTGGATGGATCTTTTCCCTGCCAACCCATTTCTTTCCACTGATCAGAAATTAAGCCTTGAAGCTCCTTCCCTGGGTATGTAGCAGACCATAAGGCCCTCAATGCATCCTGAATTTATCAAATTCAAAAAGGTAAATCGAAAAAAAAAAAAACAGCAATAATATATATCCAGAAAGTTACAAAACCTGATGTTGTGGTCTTGAAGCATCGAAATGAACTTTGGCACGTTGTCTTAACCTCTGTAGCCTCTCGTCCTGTGTGAAGCAAGTTGATTAGTCCGTCTTACATATCATTTAACACATAACAGAAGAATTTATTCGGGTTTATAATACTGATTTGCAATAGACTTGCCTGTAGGGGCGTCAAGTTGATGCAAACACGAGCACTATTTCCATTCCGCTTAAAACAAACGCAGGTTAGAGTTTTTCCCCTCCAAACCGGTGAACCACAAATTGCATCGTCTGCTACCGCCAAATTCGATTTCCTCCCTACAAATTATGTTCATGCCTTGCAACACTTTAACTTTTGTTTGGTAAATTAAATCACTCTATAGTCTATTCAATATTGATGAGGGGAATCTCGAAACACAATAGAGATGTAGATCAAACAATTCAATTTAGTTGATTTGCAAATAATGTGCCTTCTTGCTATTAGTGTAGGCTCAACAAAGCTACCCAACACTCTGTAAACAAATTATGATGCCCCTAATTGTCAAATCATGGTGATAGATTTCAAGGATTGAATAAGTTCTATGGCCCTTAATGCAGAATTGCTAAAGAACACAACTTTTGACTGCACATATAACCAGATAAAGGAACCCATGTAAAGAAAAATAAAAAACTAAACGACCAAGGCTAAAACTAATTAATATCTCAACACTTTCTAAAATCATCTCCCAAATAAAAAGATGAATAAGTTCTACAGTAATGCTACCCTACCCACGGTGGACACATGTTAATATGTCCACCACTTATGTGGCATACATTGGTGATGTATTTTTTTGAACATATTAACATTGTCAATGTGTGCATGCCTAACGAGTGGGACCAAATAATTCAATAGGGAAAGCGGTGGACATATTAACATGTGTCCACCGTGAGTAGGGGAACATTAATGTAAGTTCTACATCCCCCAAGGCAGAAATGCTAACTTTTTACTGAAAGATTACCAGATAAAGGAACCCATTTAAAGAAAAATAAGAAAATTAAACTACAAAAGCTCAAACTAATTAATATCTCAAACCCTTTAAAATCATCCCCCAGATAAAAAAGATGAATAAGTGCTATAGCCCTCAAGGCAGAAACACTAAAGAAGGCAACTTTTTACTGAAATAATACCAGATAAAGGAACCCAATTCACAAAAACATAAGAAATTAAACTACAAGACTCAAACTAATTAATATCTCTATACCTTTCAAATCATCCCCCAAACAAAAGAACACTAAAAGCATTCAAGTCACAAAATAAAAATGGAGTCTTGAAACCTTGTTCCTGAGTAAAAAACAGAGATCACCCATATACAGACAGTTCATAGGAATCCAATCACATGTCCGATGAAAAAACAGATGAGACAAAAGAAAATTAGTACCTGAAACTGAAGATTGAGAATGATTGCATTTCGGAGAAGATGATGATGATGATGATGATGAGTGGGCAATGGAGCGGACAGCAATGCATCCGCCATGGACATTATCGGGAGTAGGCATCCAGTTGCAGTTCAGTCCTCTTTCCCGGCCTGTGTCCTCGTCAGTTTTTGGTGGTGGTCTCTTTTTAACTTTCACGGCTTCAAGCTAGTAAACTAGAGGGATGTACCGAACCATTTCATCGAGATTTATAACCGTTGGATCATTATATCACCGTCGTAGATAGTTGATCTAACTGTTACAAACCGGATAGAATGGTTCGGTAATAAGACGATAGAAGATATCCATTTTTTTTTTAAAAATTTTTTTTTATCACTTATCAGTCTTGGTTTGACCAGGACTAATTTTAATAAGTTAAAATTTAGTGGTGGACGGTATTGCCACCGAGGTGCTTTTGCTTTGTTGACAAATGTGTCCTCTATGCTATACATAAGATAATTGCATTGAAATCGGTTGGTTTAAGGGGTGATTTATTCAATTCAAAGTTCTTTGTATAGATAAGTTTCTTAAGCTTTACGTGATCCGATTTTTCTATAATGTGCAAAAAATGTCCAAGTCTGTCGTTGAAAAAAGATTAATGACTTGTTTGGTTGATATAAGAGTAGAGTTAATTTAAATGATTAATCAATTAATTTTGTTAGTTAGATTGTTTATCAAAAGAGTTCATTTAACTAGCTTTTTGGATCGAGACGCGAACTTCGCAACTCTAAAAGATCAGCTTTTTGGTTAACAAAAAATTCAAAATAAAATATGACAATGTGATAGATAAGGGTGTAAAGAAGATGATCAAGCTCGAAAATCAGTTGAAGTATAATAAATCATATATAAATCCATATTTTAGCCTTATTGACTCGAGCTTGGCTCACCTCGTTAGCTAAACGAATTTTGAACAAACTTGAACTCGAGTTTGACTCATTTCTTTGAACATATCCAGTGATAGCTATAAATTTCCATCGTTTGTAAAATGATTGTTAGAATATATTTTGTATATATGGTTATAATATATTTTGTATATATATTGTAGGATTAGATTTAGGCTCATTATGTTCCTATATATATGTGTACATGTCTTTTGAATAATATAGAACATATATTTTTCCCACTTTCTTACATGGTATCAGGCTAGGTTTATAGTCCAATATAAGGTTAGTATTTTTCGCTCGTCTCCGGCCGTCTTCTATTCTCACCTCCCAGACCATCCTCTCCGGCATCTTTCGGCGAGCCGTCGGTCAAAATTTGGGCCCGTTCGGAGGCGCGTGGGACCCACACTCGCCGGAACAGTGAGACTGTGCTGGCAGCTTCAGCCGGAGCGTGAGATTCACCCCCAGCTCCGATCGCCGTGATTTTTCAGCCATCGACTCC